ACTTCTCACAGGGGTAAAACCAAGCTGGAGCAATCAAGAATGCAGCTCTGGTGCTTTTTAACCAGGTAGAGCAACGTGTCACCACTTTCACACAGGTTACCTAAGCAAGTTATACATATATATGTATATATATATATAATCACTCTTTAATGGATTTTGACTGGCCTGCATGCTCTTCAGCTATGTACCTTCCTTATCCATTGCAAGACAGTAGAAACATGCACAGCCGCTCTCTGCTGAGTCGTGGGACTCACATCACAGCATGGTCAGGCGGGATTGGCAACCCCAACATACATTTTTTTAACTCTGCTATTGGTTTTTCTGGATATTTTAATACAGTTCTTAGCAACAACTGCATGCTCTACAGGTTTTGAAGTATGGATCATAAAGTACTGGAATGTTAAAGAGGCCAAAGAAAAAGGGAGCATGCATAGTTTTTAAAAAATAAAAACAACCCTTTTTGATTCAGCCCTTATAAATGTAAACATTTAACGAAATATGTTAAGTGATTAAGGTAATGATTACTGCCACCTCTTCAGCTCCTTAATGAAAAACATTTAAACTATTGCAGTAGCCACTTGCATAAAAATTACACTGTAATTTAAATCTACAATGCACTGTAATGCAAATCTTCAAGATGCTACAATCTACATTCTGTATTCATTTGGGCAGTGCATATCTTGAGTTTTATAAACTGTAAGCAGAGAAAACAGTTTCATAACTGCTAAAATTATACCTAGCAAATAATTCCCCTTAAAAAGCTCTCAAAGCAAAACATTTTACAAATACTCTTTCTTAAACTTTTAACTCCTTCATAAATAGTGGCATTTCGGAACGTGTTTCACGTTGGCAATCTGTGACTGAGCCAGGGGATTTTACTTGGTAGGAATTAGAAAAACTATAGAGTAGTCAGCATAATTTTTATAAAATTCCACGTACATTTCCCCTAGGTTTTTTTATCATTATAGGCAAGTATAATCTCCTTTCATACATAATTGGCAGAGCTTTCAGGAATAGTGACAGTGAATACCGCACAAAAGCCAAAATTGCATGAAACTAAGGAGGTCAAATTATCCCAGGAAACCTAGGCATCAGAATTGTGTTGGGATTGAGATTTCAGTCCTGTAGAAGGATTCAAAGCTGCTTCCTTCAGGCAGACTTTCACTGACTTCGATAGCCAAATGGTTTGTTTTGTACCACTGATTAGTATAGATTGTCCAGAGATGGCAAAAAAATTCATATTGGTATGTATTCTGAAAATTCTCAGATTTTACTGATTAAATTTTAAACCAAGATATGCTTCAAACATCAAATAAAATTATAAGAGTTTTTAAACTGGTTTTCTTAATGTTATATCAAATTCAAATATCATAAGATCTGAGATTTAAAGAATCAGCAATCGGCATTATTTTATATTTGGTCACTCAATTACAGTGCAGTTTTCAAGATTCAAAGGATAAAACCACATGGCTTGATTACCAAAGGCAATTTGTAATGGCTGAATCCCTTTATTTTATTGTCACTTGAATCATGAAGCCGTTTGTAAAGCTTAAAATTTTAGCAGCCTGCTCTTGCTCTTGTTGAAATTTAGAGTAAAATCAAATGAGAGCAAGACTAGGTCTTAAGTGAATGCGTTTTCTTGTAAATGGGCACATTAACATGCTGTTGGTCAAAGCTTGTTTTAATGATCTCAGCTGATAAAAAGAGATGCACTGCTCTGAAAGGACAGTATGGAGGCTGATTACACACATATTAACCAAGTATTTGGGTTGCTGGTGAAGCATTTTTTTATGTTATGTCCTATACAATAATATTTATAATATTATTTTCAGCAAAATATAATCCCATTGAGGTAGTCTTACTTTTTTTACTTTAATTTTGTTTGTGATTTCACAGTATTGCTCAGGCTTCCGCTCTAGTCAAGCATGTTGTTTCGCTGATTCAGGCCTTGAGAATGCTGCATCATAAGCAATTGCTTTCAAATGTATCCTTGTAAAGGAAAATGTGATATCACTGAAGATGCAAATAAGTATTTACAGGGCATGGCGCGTTCTAGAGGCTGATAATCACATTTACGAGGTGAAAAGAAGATTGTGTTAATCCATCATATATCTTGAGCTTCCTTTTAGTTTTATTGCTAGAAAAGAAAAAAATCATTAAAGTCACCTTATTTAAAATGCAATGGTTCTTTCCTAATTTAGGGTCTTGAAGCAAAGAAGAGGAGTTTTATTAACTTAATGAGGTGGTTTTTTTATAATGCAATTGTTTGAGATTGTTTGAAAAGTAATGAAGAGAATGCTTTATGTGAAAAATAATGAAGAGAAATATAGTAAGTTTTGTTTGTACTGGTTATAAATTGCACTTCTGTCACTTGGTTTTTAGCAGCTATGCTGACAGGACTATGCAACAGAGTTTACATGGGAAGATGCAGTTAAAAAATGGGCTGCCTTTTAATTGGCACTCATCTAGATTAATAATTGATACTAACTATGAACCTTTATTGTGCTACTGTTAAGTCTGTAATTTGATGATGATGGATCAGGCCAGGAATTAGTCTTAATTTTCCTAAATTTTGTGTAACGTATTATTATTTTCTCAATATTTGGTTTTTATTTAATGAAGAAACTGCCTATAATTTTAGTGACTTGTTTCAGACTTACTTCTTAGTATAAAAATCATATATGATTCTAGAATTAATTCACAAATCTTATTTCCTCTTTAAAAGAGTGTCTTATCTGTGGATAATAAGACGGCGTGCTAATAATACTTAATATAATTGATTTGCATTTTGGTGTGTAAATATAATACAGAAAACAAAGTTTAAAATATTCTCACTATATGAGGTACACTATTTTATCCACTTGACCGGTAATTAAATCACTCCATTTAGAGGCTGTAACTATTTAACATATATAAATTTTGGAAATCATAAATGAAGTGCAGCATGAAAAAGAAAATATGATATTTTAATGTGTTTACTAAGCAAAAATTCACCATTGGAAACATGCGAATCTCAATGTATTTATCCAAATCTTTTCACATTTGTCAGCATGATTTTCCATGTGGATCATGATATTTAAAAAGGGAAAAAACAGTTTCCAAACTCATGCTTGTGTGCTTATCAGAAATCTTTCCTATTATGTGACAAGTCATTTATTTTTGCTCACCATGCAGTAAGAGCAGCCTGAGGTCTCAGTGACCCTGCACTGACTCCGTTTTCACACATGTGTAGGGCAGCCTCGTGAAACTTGACCCTGAAATTATCCATCATCCAACATGATTTTTTTTTTAAACTTTATTCATCCCATGTAATAGTTGAATATGAGAAAGTAATTGGTTACCAAACTATTCAATGATATATGTCCATTCGCTTTATTTCTGGCAGAAAAAAAGCCCTTAGCTTCCAATGCATTTTCCTGGGGACTGGGCTTTAACTGAAGAGCTAAATAACTAGTTTTAATTTGCAGCACTGTCTCTGAAAAAGAGAATACATGGAAATGCCTCTTTAAAAAATTGTTTATTATTTGTTGCAAAATAACTTAAATCACTTGAACAGGTGGGTTTTTTTATATACTCAAAAAATATCATGATCTTGGAAACTAAGTGTGAAAAGTAATTGGTATTAAGCATACTCTCAAAAAATTTGCATGGAAAGGTCTTTGTATAGGTCAAAGGGCATGACCAGATCTGTGTAGCTGAAACTACAAACCTAGTCTGTGACCAAATGCCCTTTTGTTGCATCAGTGCCTGTACAATTTAAAGGATTTAAGTTAGAGGTGCATTCTACATCCCCATTGAAATTCCCATGTATTATGCTACATGGTATAAACCAGAAGTATTTCACTGACATGCCGTTTTTAATGTTGCTTTCTGATTACAAACCTTATTTCACAGTAAAAGGGAATATATTTTGGATGAAAGAAATTAAAGATGCAAACAGCATTGGCAAATGAAAACAAGTTACAGTCTCCATGTCCGATTATTGTGTTAGTTGTGTGCATCTTTAGCAGGTTTATCTTTCAAAATATGCTCTCTTAAAAGGAAAAAACTATGGGCAGTCTTGCATGACTGATAAACAGCTTGACCTGATCCACATTTCAATGTATTTAGTTAAAAGTTACTTAATTTCATTTGCTATGTATTGTTCTCCAGTTCTTGGAGTTTTCAGGTCTAGAAGGGCTTTTATTGTAGTAAGGACTATGGTACATCACTGTACACAAAAGTAGTAGAATGACAGAAAAATTTGGCGTGTCAGGGACCTCAGGGTATTTCTCAATACGCACAGGAGACAGGACTGCAAAGAAGATATTTTGGATCTGGTAATTTGTGCTTTCTGCAAGAATTAAATTGTGCAGAAATTTGGCAGTAAATGCCATTAAATGTACAAGTTTTTAATCCAGATTTGGTGTACGTTTGTGAAAACACCCTCTGTAGGAGTTTTCTGTTAGTTCATTCTGCTGGGAAAAGTAAGACACGTTTTTGATGTAATCCAGTGTAGAAAAGAGAAGGAAATAACTTGAGAGTGGTATGTGCAAGCTCTCCAGTTTTAATGCATGTACAAGTTTTTAATCCAGATTTGGTGTACGTTTGTGAAAACACCCTCTGTAGGAGTTTTCTGTTAGTTCATTCTGCTGGGAAAAGTAAGACACGTTTTTGATGTAATCCAGTGTAGAAAAGAGAAGGAAATAACTTGAGAGTGTGGTACGTGCAAGCTCTCCAATTTTAATGCTACTGAGAATACTTCAGAAGTCTTATACATGGATCAGGTTAGTTAATTTAAATAAATTATATTTAATTGTTCCCCATGAGAAGATAAACAGGGAAACAGAACTATACAATGTACACATCATTACTATGTTTTTACTTATGGTGATGCATATTTATCAGTATAAATTTAGTGCTCTTCAAAAGTCCGAGACTGGCATGATTCAATTCGGTATATTTTTTTACAGAATATGTATCTAACGAGAAAAATTTGTTCTTTGGAACTTTACTTGCAGAAACTAAATGCATCCAGTTCATCAGAAGGCAGCACAGTTGACATTGCTCCTCCCGGAGAGGGCGAGCAAGCAGAAATTGAAAGTGAAGAAGCTCTTGAACCAGAAGCCTGTTTTACAGAAGGTTGTAGAAAAATTGTTGACTTAAGAGATGCGTTAGTAAAATGGCATTATTATTAGGTATATTTGAGTTCTTGGGACTCAAATCCGGGAGACCTTCAAGACCTCAACAATCAAAAGAAAATAGTCTTAGCCTACAATGCTGGAAATCAGATGCCAAAATAAGGTTGCCTTAGGCTTTGAGCAACTTTATCTGCCTGGCCACTGTATAAATCTTGTAAATCCGAAACTTCATTTACTTTTCTATTCTTAAAATGCTTTTCAGTTATTTGAAATGGGCCTTGAAATTCAGAATTTTATTTTTTTTTCTGAGACTTCAACACATGGAACAGTTACAAGCCAACAGTCAAAAATATCCAGGCTTTTTGGATTGAGTTTACTCATAATTATGACTACTATTGTCTGGTTTCTCTCCAAAGTACTTATCTAAATTCAGATACTCAGCATCCTGTAAAGGAGGAAATATCCAGGCTTTTTGGATTGAGTTTACTCATAATTATGACTACTATTGTCTGGTTTCTCTCCAAAGTCTTATCTAAATTCAGATAGCATCCTATAAAGGAGGATTCCAGTGTTTTAATGTGTAGAAATTTATTATAAAATTTAGTAAAGCTTCTAACAATATTGATACCATAGTAAATACTGACATTGAAATAATTTACTTTTCGATCCTAATATCTCTTAATCTAATGCAGGTTGTGTGCAGAAATTTCCATGTTGTCAAGTAAGTATAGAGGATGGCAAAGGAAAAATTTGGTGGAATCTGAGAAAAACCTGCTACAGCATAGTTGAGCACAACTGGTTTGAGACTTTCATTGTCTTCATGATTCTCCTCAGCAGTGGAGCACTAGTAAGTAGAAAAAAATTGCTGAAATATTTCAATCTCTCCTTAGAAGCAACAGGAATATTCACATTCGCCTCAGAAAGACTTCTTTTGCTTGCAGCTGTATAAAACTACCTGCATTCCAACATTACAGGATGGAATAAAACTTGGCCCAAACTTGAAAAAGTTAGTTAAATTTCATATGGAATTTTGTAGTGATACTTTCGGTTCACCACTGTAGAGCTGGTACAATTTTATTTAAGCCAGGATGCTGGCTTAAACTACTTTTACACTACTCAGAATTTATATCGCCTGTCAATGTTCAGCATATTCATCAAGAGATTTGAGTACAAAGGCGTGTACAGCTAAAGGTATGATTTTAAGTCCTTAGTTCCTTCCAGGCTCAGCCACTTCTTGCATTCTGCTTACAAAAAATGGAGTAATTGCTTCATTCTGTTCCTTCTGGGGGAGCAGGAGTTTTAGTGTGACAGCAAATTAAACCTAACAAGCACTTTCCAACAAGATTACGTTACCCACCTTACTGGCTTTACTCAAATTGAACATTTGCTGTGATCAATGTGCGTAGAGTACATTGGAGCAAATACATTGCTCTTTAATTTCACTTTTAGACAGAAGTTGGATTGATGGAGCAATCTCCCCAACTGCTTTCTAGAATGGAATATACGTATCTGGAACAGATTTTGTATAAGGAAGGGGCTTTTTTTGTGTGTATATGTGAAAGTTTCTTAATACCACAGTGGATGAAAATTCATGTTTTGAGTTTATTTCTTCATGCATTATGAAGTTAGGATATATAGATATTTTCAATGCCAGACTGGGCAGAACACATAAAGTTTCTCCCATTTGTGGTATGGTAAAAGATGGGAAATATGTAAAATAAGAGGATGCAGAAGAACAAGGGGAAAAAATAGCTCTTGCCTACTCATTTTTTATTATTTATTCCTTATTTTTATCATATATATTCTGTGAAATATTAGTAATACCCAAATATATTTTTTCATAGGCTTTTGAAGATATATATATTGAACAGCGCAAAACTATCAAGACCATGCTGGAATATGCTGACAAAGTTTTTACATATATTTTCATTTTGGAAATGCTTTTAAAGTGGGTAGCATATGGTTTTCAAATATATTTTACTAATGCCTGGTGCTGGCTGGACTTCCTGATTGTTGATGTAAGTACACAGTAAAATTCTCTATAGTAAAGTCATTTATGTTGTAAAACTCATTACTATGAAATAATATTCTTATAAACATAAAATAATAACTCATATTATATAGTTATACTGCATTAATAATAGCGTGCAGTGATCTGGATGTATTATTTAAAGTACATTTATATGCCAAAAGTAAAAGGGTGGGTGGCTATTGGTTTGTTCATTCTTCAGGGTTAATAATTTCATACCCGGGATATATCAAACTTGTGATTTTTATGAGGAAAAAACCTAATTTTGAAACACTTTTAATGTACTCAAATCATACTACCTTACTCCTTTGCAAATAAGACACTGCAAGGTGCAAGTTTCTTCTACAAACACTGCAGCTTTGCAAGTGAAATACAGATGGTCCAGATTTCACCCGAGTTGTCAGAACTTCATCCCCCCAACTATCCTGTTACCATTTTTAGTAAAACAGAAAGACAATTTCTATTTGGTCTAAAAATTAATTTGTTTTAATGGGCTGACAATCTGCAATAGTTAAATCAGCTATGACTTGGCAGGGGCTTTGACAGAAGAAAAGGCAATGTTTCGTGGCTGCCTTCCCAGCCGTGATATACTTCTGTGCAAAGACCTTGCTTTGGTGTCAGAAGGGATCAAAGCTGGGTTTACTCCCAGAATATTTTGGTCTCTTGCCTTCACACGTTATCTGACCCAGTTCACTGGCTATACAAGTCTTCAGTGTGGAACTGAGGGATGACATCTACTGAGCGATGCGCATTTACAGTAATATCTGCCCAAGCTACCGTATTTCTTGAGAAGTTTGTATATTTAGGGTCCCATAAATACTTATTCCTTATGAATATATAATGGAAATATATCAGATTTGTGAACTAGCTAGACTGGCTCATAACTCAAAGTGGAAACCCTTCTCTTTTTTTCAACCTGTCCTATTTAGTTTTGTCACACTTAATCTCTAGCTCTGTCCCAAAAATCTACACTAGAATGGCAGTGTGAATGGTTTACTTCAGAGGATGTTAATGCAGAAGACAGATGCTCCTTTCCAGGATTATGTTGTGTGGATTTTTTTTTTTTAGATAAACTACAACTCATGTTTTAATTGTTCTTTTTGTAATATAAACGTAAATACATTATTCTAAGTCATACTCCATGGTTACTTAGTAATGGTTTAATCTCAGAGACGCTGTTAGCAGAGCAGGCTCTCAAAATTATAAAGAACATCATCCTAAATAAAGTAGCTTATTTTACCAACTTTTTAACCATACTTTTTAATTTTTAAAACAAAAGCTTGACTAGATAAGATTGGAACTTTCTACTTCTGAAGAATTATATTCAGTGTTCCAGAAAGTGGTAAAAAATGTCTTCCTGTGCCTAAGGCTAATTCAGCAATTCCTTTAGCACCACCAGACAGCACTTGAAAGAACGAAATGAACTCATGTTATCTTCCTATAGAAAAGCAGAGAATCTACAATGCTTTAACAGGCACTTTAAACAGGTGTGATTCAATGGCATTCTCCCAGTGAGAATACCAATGAAACCTTCTTCATTAGAAGTGATTTAAGTTGATCAGATAGTTTAATTCCATCCTCTAAAATTATTCAAGAGTAAACACTGATAGTCCTTTAGAACTTTGACCTTTAATATCGTACATACCTGAGTCTCTCACTGTGCGAAATAGATATACTTGCTCTCTGTCATTGTGCTCAAATAATTAGATTTTAATAACTACACAAAGAAATGGCAATTTTAATCTCTGTCAGTTTAGAGCCTTGAGAGGCGACTCTTGTTACATCTGGCTACCTCAGTTTAAGACTGTGTTGTACCATCTCTCCGCCCCGCTCTGCTGCTAGATGCAAGAATACCGTTAGCAAGGAGCAGATATTTGGATGGAGTACCTCTACCTCAAATCACAATCTGGTAAATTAGTTCAAACACATTTAAGAGAAGAGACTGAATTTTGGATGCAGGCAGCTGAGATACAGTGACATATTCGCTTTTGAGGGGGAGACTAATTCTGGCAGAGATACACAGTAAATGCTTGAGACAGTAATATCTTAACCCAGTACAACTGGATGCCTTAGAGCACGTCCTCCTACACCTTGGCTTTTGCTCTTACTCCTTCTTCCAGAAGCCATCTGTCATGAGTTTATTATCTCTAGGTTTTGATGTACAGCTGTAGTGACTCTAAGGTGCCACATATAAAGCTACAGAAGGGGATAGAGAATCTGGGAATACCCAATGAGTTTGTCAGTTATTGAATTTGTTTGTGTAGTTTTCTGCTACAATATGTAAACCTAGATAATCTTACAAATATATGGGTTTACACTGTATATTTTAAACTTTTTAAGTTAGTCCTGTAATTTGGTATAGCCACCTTATTTCTAAATTATTGTGTTATAAATTGCATTTGAATTAAATGGCAACAAGCAACATTTAAAACAAATCATGTGTTTGACAAATATTGTGGGGCAGTAATGAACCTGTAGGGGAACAAAATCTTTGACCTTCCTGAAATTGCTCATGCGTGATAAATTCCAGTGGTTACAGGTTTTGAGCAATCAAGTGCAGCAAGATAAATGTGTCCCTCCAGTTTTGCTTGTTGTATAGTACATTAAAAGTTGGTCATATTGATGGCTTATATAATATTTCTTTATATAGCTAAAAATGTTTCAAGCTTTTTGTTAAAACACTCAACCTTTTTATTAGCTTTACAGAAAAATTAACTTAGCAGCAACATTCTGGAAAAGATCAGGCTCACATTACACTAATATACTAAATGCTGTATGCACAGAGTACGAGGTAACTGCTGCCCTGACAATTTCATAATAAAAATAAGAAGAAATAAGAAGATGAACATCTTGATGTGTTGGGAAACCAGATACAGAAAGAGATGTCACTTTGTCTTTCTAGACAGTTTTTATGTGTATCCTAACATAGGATAATACAGAAATTAATGAAATTAAGTAATTAATTCAAAGGGATATTCCGAAGATATATGGATGAAACCTAAGGCTCTTGTTCAGTGAATTAAGGAACAGAATCATAGTTTGCAATTCCACATCTAAAAAAAAAAAAAAAGAAATAATTTTGAATACCTCGCAGTAAAATCCCATAAATTAAGAATTATTCATGAAGTACATACAGAAAAACAATATTGTCTTAGCTTAAGACCATAAGAAAGGCTACACAAGGTATAAACCAGGCTACATTTGGTCCTGTGTCCTGTCTCCCAGAGTGTCAAAAATGCATGCCAGGAAAACCAATAATATAGTATCTATCTTTCAAAAAATAAGAAAAATCATTAACTTCTCAACAGAAAGAAAAATACTTGGATTTTTTTCCATATGTTGCAGTTTATTCCTAATTAAGTGTAATGCCTAAACACTTAAACTACATGAAAGTTAGGGTAAGCGGTGTTGGAAGTGAGAAGGGCTGTATGCCTCTGAGGACCTGGAATTAAATCACATAGATTAGCCCTCTCACAGAATTTATATGGATTAAAATTTTAGGCCTAAATAGAAATAAAGCCAACGTGCAGCTCTATGGCCAACAATATGGCTTGGATTAGCAGGGCTAATTGTGACTGCTAAATTTCTAAACATTTTTTTGCAACAGCTAGTGTACATCAGAAGATCTATACAGAAACACATGGACACACAACCCTCCAGGTTGATGTAAATATCTTCTTCACCATTTTGAGTTCATTTTCATTTCTTAAAATTACTGCATCTGCATGCATTCCTATCTCAAAAGAAAGAAATTCATCTATTTATCAGTGTACAGAGACATTTTGTCACCTACTAGCAACAAAACAGGTGGAACAGAAGACCGAGCTAAGGACAGAAAACCAGAGCAGTAGAGAACAGCTGCATATACTGAGCCTGTATATAGAACAGAATTAATATCAAAGAATTCCGAGCAAATCTTTGCCTCTTGTTTGAGCGGGCCTTTGGAGGAAAATATGCTGTTTGCAATAGATGAAGTATTTCTCTGTGAAACAACTTCAGGTTTATGATGTACGAGCACTAGCACCATGGTAGGAAAGCTGCAAATATAGTGAAATGGAAAACACAAACTAGGCTGGAGAATGACTTGCAATCAGCACCTAAAACCTGCCAACACACCCAGGGCCACTTGCAGTTCCGGGAGCTACAGCCATGGAACAAGCTTGCTTGGAGTCATACCTGAAAGGCAGCTAAGGCATGGTGCTAGTTTGGGGAGAAAAGTATAAATTGGAGCCATTATTGTGAGTTCAATTTTAAGAGATGTCATGGTCTCCCAGCGAGAGATGTATTTTTTTAACATATATTTCATAGTTTATTTTTCATCTGTAAAATGAGCTGTCTTTACAGGAAAGTTTATTGATGTGTCTGGCCATCTTATTGATGTATCAATGAATGAATATTCTACTAAAAATACAGATAAATCCATTTCTTGTTATTTCTGGGGTATATTAAGAATGGCTAAGGATAAAAAAGAAATCTCTCACTGTAGAATCATGGGACAAATAAATTCTATTAATGATAATTATTAATAGCAATTAATGACAATAATTAATGTAGCGGCAGAAACAATAATGTTATCTCTTGTAAGTGAAGAACCTTCAGTTACAGACTACAGAAAATCTATAAGATTTTCTTCTTAATACACTTATAAATCACAGCAAGTTCCTTTTCAAACTTAGCCATTGCAGCAACAAAATAAGCATTTCCTTTGATTAAAAAGAATTCCATCCTGACATGTAATCCAGTTGAAAGTTACAGTGATATGAATTCACTACAATACTGGATTCTGTTAGATTAATATACCCAGCAAGACAGCAATGAATAATTGATTTCTATCTGCTCTCAAATTGTCCTTTTGAGACATGATCTTGTAACTCTTGTGTTTGTGATTCATCTAATTGTTCTTTAAGGATACAAGTAACATAGGAAATCACCTTTTCATATAATGGGCAAAATCTTACCACCACCATCAGTGAATGTCTATTTCTGTACAGCCAATTATCTGAAGAACTCTCTAGACAGGGGGACAGAAATGAACATTTGAGGGATTTTTTTCAAGGACTGAAATATGCCTGTGTTCATGCTTTTGGTGGTAGAACTGAATAAAATGTGAGTAAGGTATGATACTTCCCCACTCCTGTCTCCAAAACTACTCAAAGTAAGTAAATTAAATTCTTTCACATTAACACTCAGTTTAAAAGTCAGTTCCGTTTGAGAAGCAAATCATTTGCTCCTTCTGGAAGTGGATTGGCTTATAATAAAATCCCGGTAACATGAATCAGGAGCTTACTACTGTTGGAGATAGTAAAGCACTTATTGTTATAATTATAGCATTTGTTAATATCTATCCCATAATATTTTCCTATACTCCGAAGAGAAAGAAAAAAAATTATTGTGAGTGTTGTCAGGCAAGTGAAAAAGTACTACCTCTGTCAGTATATATTTCATAGATAACCTGGCTATTTTTGCTATGGGCTGAGTATTTGGCTTTGAAGTAACATTTATTAAAAAAGCTAATTAACCACTACATTATTTAGCTCATTATTAGACATTACAAATATTAACACTATTGTCAGTATTTAATAAACTATCCTAATATGTTCAGAATTTTAAATGGCTTGGAAGGTTGAAGTATTGCTATTTTGTCTTTAAATATTTCTGAAAACTTTATCCTTCACCAACAGCATCTTTCCATCTGACTGTTAAAGTCTATCCATCTATAAGAGGCATTTAAAATTATTTAATTTTAAACAAAATGTTCTCTTGTCTTTCTAGCAAGTATGAAAATGGCATCACTACAAGCAAGAATGTGTTCTTCTATTTGTCACTTTTGATATTTCTGTTGATTGAATCTGTATTCTTTTTAAATGAACCGTGTAGAACAATTTTTATAATAATATTTTTTCTGTATTTTTATAGGTCTCATTGGTTAGTTTAATAGCCAATGCTTTGGGCTACTCTGAACTTGGTGCCATTAAATCACTTCGGACATTAAGAGCTTTAAGACCTTTAAGAGCCTTGTCACGATTTGAAGGAATGAGGGTGAGATAAAATGAAGGAGTCTGAATGAATGTATGCATACAAAAATTAATGTAGAAGTGTGACTTTCCAGCCTTCTGCAAAGAGCTCCAGAATGGGAATGCAGGCAAAAATGTGTGAAAAAAAGGCATTCCACCATGTCCTCATACACAAGACATGTATACAGTTTACCTAGAGATTAGACTTCTCTGTTTGTCAGTGGTTCAGGATGGAACAAGATTAATCAGAAAATAGAGCAAAACAAACAAAGAAACAAACAAAAAGGTGAAGAAGCTGACAAGAGTGACACATCAGAAACTAGAGCCTCCCTATGGGTACATGTCTACCTGCATGGGGAAAAGAGAAAGCATAAAGAATGCTGTAGTAATAGGGAAAAGTTCCCTGAACAGCATCTGAAATAAGGATGGGGTTGGAAATATAAAAGGGAAGAGATGGGAAATCATTTTCTCAGTTAATGTCCTTTACTTCATATGAATGCATCTGCTGCCATCTCACCTGTCCTCCTACACAGCTAAATCCTTCCTGTTGAAGAAATTATTTTCATATTCTGCCAATCTGGAAAAAAAAAAAGCCCAACCCAACCCAAACTATTACATAGTCTGCTCCAAATGCAGACTATGCTATTTTCTGGAAGAAGTGATGCACAAAAATTTAACAATATAATGTTATTGAGAAATCTCCTTTTAATTTTTCACCTCAAAATACCCAGATGCTGCAACACATGTTCATGGTTTGATCATAGGTCTTAAGTTTCTAAATCAATAGTGTGGTTCCTGCCTGGGTTGAGGCTGCTGATATTTTCGATGTGTCCACATCGGCTGGGGTAGGGCAGCGTGTCCTGTGGCACACCGCCACCACCACAAGGTTTTACATGAATTGCATTGCAAACAACACGTAAGTCCTTATGTAATAAATGGGCGAAACCTCTACTGATCTTACACTCCTTGTAGGCAAATTAATAAATTGAAAGATACTACTATTTTCAAAACCATACATAAAAGACTACTGCAGTGTCTATTTTTAGTTTAATCACAGTAAGTCAAAGAAAATTTTTGTCAAGGGATTTCATGTGATCTTTTACTGCTATTTGCCTATATAGAGTAGCTCAACTGTATTAAATGGAGCCAATTAAAAAACTCCACCATAACAGATAAGTGTAAAAGCAACTATAGTGAGATGGGCAATTTAAAACCAAGACTTATAGGAGATGCTGTTAATAAAAACTCAGTAAGATATGCATATTTATGTTAGGTTCCACGCAGATGCTAAAATACCCTGGTGCCAATATATACATAAAGTTTCTCAGAATAAAATCATTAGTAATGATAGTTTTACATGTAGACATTTTTATTCAGTCTTCCACATCATCATTCTGTCTTTCCCTGGTTTATTTTCTGTTTATAGATTTTGATTTGTATTGTTGGAATTTAACATTTCTTTCTCTCTTTTTCTCTAGAGCACACAAATTCTAAGAATCCATCTTGCTACTAACAGGTTTTCTTTTGCTTTTTGAGGTTTTTTTCAGACGTTTGCATTGTCTTCGTTTCCATATTATTTTATTTTTTGCTTTTTGCAATATCATTTGTGTTTTATTGAACCTGAAATAACATTTCCCCCATAATTTGAGTGTAATATTTTAACTGTCCATTCCATATTAATACTGTTTTAACATTTGAAAAGTATTTTTATTTTTCCGTTCATAAACTAAGTAGATATTTTGTCTAATTTGTACACTAGGTGGTTGTAAATGCCCTTGTGGGAGCAATTCCATCTATCATGAATGTATTGCTGGTTTGTCTTATATTCTGGCTCATCTTCAGCATCATGGGAGTAAATCTGTTTGCTGGCAAATTCTATCACTGTGTCAACACCACAACTGGTGAGATGTTTGATGTCAGTGATGTCAACAATTATACTCAGTGTGCGGAACTCATAAAAAACAATCAAAGTGCCCGATGGAAAAATGTGAAAGTAAACTTTGATAATGTAGGAGCTGGATATCTTGCTCTGCTTCAAGTAGTAAGTAAATTTACGTATTTTCTTTTTGCTCTTTTTAGAGAAACCTAGGGGAAAATGGGCAAGTTAAGATTGTTAAAGAGTGGAATAATTTCTTCCTAGCAATGATGTACGGCTTACACAACTCCATTGCATTCTTACCTGTAAATTTTTTCTTAATGTTAGTAGAGTAACTTTCTATTCCAAGGCTAGGGAATACACTCTCACCGTGATAATAATAATGTGAAATTAGTAAGTCAAGAAGGTACAAGAATCTTTTTCGTGATACACAATATAAACTTCAGGAATGCATTTTCATGAGTCTTGCCATGGTGGACAAGGCCCAGACGTCCCTCTGTTAGACAGGTCTCCCCCCTGCTTTGTGAGCTCCGTTACCTTGTGAAACAGGAGGGCACTCAGCAGCTTCGAAGAGGGCGGATATCCTGACTGACTGGTCTGAAGTGAGCAGCTACTGCCAATGCCTCCCACATAATCTCTTCTTAGGTATCATTACAAATCCACAGCAACATTCTTTCACAGTTAAAATCCATTAATCTAGGCACTTCTAGCACTGTGAAATTATTAATTTTTTCAATGGCCTGGTCAAGATAGATAGGATTTTTCCTCACGTCTATGCTCATCTAAGAAACTAGTTCTAAAGTTAGGCAAAAATAAAAACATATCAACGTAGTGTCTCCAGTGCAGACATTTGTTTAACAGGGGCTTGATTTTCCAGACTTAGAAGTGCGTTTAGGAAAAGGAATCATAAACAACGCAAGATCTGAGATTCAGGCACCTCATGTTTCGCGTAGCATGAAGCCAATTATTTCTCTATTACTATAATGCTGGTGTAAGAGGTCTGAAATCCTCTGAGAGAAGCAGGAGCTGCCCATGGGAGGAAAATGGATAGTTACCCATGGACAGGTCCTAATTGAGTGTTAGGTCTGATTAATCCTAGAACACTTTTTCTTGGTATTTGCAGATAAACAGCTCTTGCTAGTAAAATCAATACATTTCGTTAAGAAGTACATGAAAATACACAGACATAAAACTGTGGGTAAAATGGGAAAATGTAAAATACTTTTATCACAAAAAATACTGATATTTAGCTATCATATTCAATCACAAGTTTGTTAAAAAGTCATTATAATATACTAAATAAATATTATATTACTTTTAACATTATCCTTATGAAGTATTAGATGTTATTGTATTGCATGGCATGTTCATTCTGTTAATTACTGCTATACGTATAAAGTCTGTAAATTTTATTTCCCCTTCAAGTCCTTCTCCTATGCACTCCGGTACAGAAGCATCCGTGTTCTAGGTACTGAGCACAACTTTTATTTACGCCAGAGGAATAAAGTCCTTAGCTCTTGTTGTCATTTGAGCCGGCTGCCTGGGACAGCAATGAAGAACCACGCAGCAGCTCCTGCACTCCTCCCCACATCCCCATCCCTTTAGGGAATTTAATCCCTTTAGGGATGGGGAGGGAGAAAACTCAACTGAAAAGGCTCAAAGATTGAGATTAGGTCAGGGAGGGTTCATTCATCACTTATGGCCATGGGCAACAAAGGAGTAGGCTTGGGGAGAAAACATTAATTTAATTTACAACCAGCAGTTAACGAGATCAGTAGGTCTCCCCCACCCCTCCCTTCTTCCTGGCCACCTCCTCCCACCCATCAGCAAACGTTGGGCAAAGAGTGAGGAGCGCAGTCCATCTGGCCATTACTCATTGTCCAGAGCAAACCTTCCGCTTCGGGAAGAGGACTCCTCGCAGTCTTCCCCCGATGCTGTGTGGTGTCCATCTCACGGGAGGCAATGCTCTCACTCCATATGAACCCTTCCCACCAGCGTGGGATCCTCCTTGGAGTTGAGGTCCTTTTGGGGCTCATCGTCTGCTCCTGCATGGTCTCTCCCCCCCGGCACAGGGTCCTCCATGTGCCACTGCATCTTGGACATTTCAGCATTGTCAGTCTCCTCAGTTCACAGGCAGTCATCTCCCTGTCATCTCACTCACCACGGGACTCTTGGAAACTCTCTGCTTCAGTGCCCTCTCCCTTCCTCAATGAGCATGTTTCTTGCTCTCCTCTCACCTACTCCTCCTCCAAAGAGAAACACTCCCCAACACAAAAGACAGGACACAGAGACAAAGAGGGTGGCCCAACAGGTTTCCCCTCTTAAGTACATCGATTGCAGAGGCGTTGATTTGCCTGGCCTTGGTCAGAGGAGGGTTTGACTTTTACCTGTGGTTGGGGAAGTTTCACAAGGAGCCACCTCCACAGCCCTCCCTCTGATACCAAGAAAAACCCACCAAACACAAACCCATAACAGCTCTTTACAGTCTCCTTGGCTTAGAATGGAGCTTCTGACAGCTGATATCTGACCCAAAACACAAGCAAGAAAGCAAGCAGTTATGTTTAGATGATTAAGTTCTGTAGAATCACTTGTCTGTAACTTGACATGCAGCTTCACAGTATGAAAAGATGTCAGAAATGCAATGCTCTGAGATCCCCAAGTTATCTAAGAATGATATGCTTGTCCCTTCCATCCTGGAGCAGGCCAGTCTCCCTAGCCAACCTGAATTACTACCTGGCTTAAAATGTTTTGCCTCTAAAGGCAATGTCACTCTCATGGGCTGAGTGCTGAATGATGATTCTGAATTAGTATTGAATGATGATTCCAATTCTCTGACTTCAGGTCATGATCATGGCTACCCTTGTGCTAGACATTAAAGTGAAACATCTTATTACCAATACTTGCCTCTGAAGATGTATATGGAAAACTAGTCTCCTGAAGCTCTGTCTGAATGTCATCTGTGTCACACACACAGAGAGTGTTGGTCTTTAATTACTACATCACTACCGTGGACCTTTCATTCTTCTTTATTTCTTTTTATTCTGATTTTTCATTATTTTCCTTTTCAAATATTCCCTTCTAGCCCTTACTTGTTCTGCAGAGATTAAGGGATCCTTGAGAATGTATCATGTCACTTCAGCCGTCTTCATTAACATTCTCCCTCCACTCTTCTCCTGTATTTATTGCTAGCAAACTCTGTTCCTCTTCTAATATTGCTATGTGAATTGCACCAAACGGCTGTCAATTGTCAACTGAGTCGGAAAAATCTATGAAGCCTGGCTCCAAGCATACCTTCTTAGGAAATCTGTAATCCACGGCAAGATTCAGAAGGACAGGAACACTCCCAGCATGCAAATTTTCTGCTGTGAAAACCAGCAGCTGTACCAAAGTATCAGAGCTACTTCTGGCAAGCACAGATGCAAATATATACTCCTTGGAATGGTTTCTCTCCTGAATTGCCTCAGGAGAGATGCTCTTTTATCTGTTCATTTTACAGGATTTTTAGCTCTTTTTTCATTCTTGTGAGTAAGCTTCGAAACCCTGGCTAGCCAGCAGCTACTCAAACCTTCAACTAGCATGTCACAGCAACCTTTGGGTGTTCCTCAGAACGTGGATATTCTATGTCTGTGAAAATCATCTCCTTAGAGCAATGATGGCAAATGGTTTTTACTCTTTGTTCCTCCTAGAAAAAGTCTTTACAGAAACTCAGCCCAAAGTTTTACAGAATTTAATCACAGCTCTTTCACAGTTCACTTTTTGGTCCTTCTGTAAATCTTACCCGTCAAGAGCCCATGTCTTGTTTTTATTCTGAACAGTCTATTCCTTTCAGTTATGTGGGATTAAAGCATTTCTAAAAATGCTATGACAGTTTAGCCACAGCAAAAGCATAGATGCATGTTGGTATCTGTCCAGAACTTGTATTGCTGACTCCATCAGTTCATGCTGTAAACTTGATAAAACTGCTGTCACCATGAGTGATTCCAGTCAATTCTAACTGAATATCTCCAGCATATATGTCCAAGTCTACTGGTTTTTTATGTCCAAAGTAAGCATCTGCAGCTCCAAACACACTGAGACCTTCAGAGCCCAATTTTTAATATTTTGGAATATCTCAAAAATAATTTCTAAAAAGCCTAGTATTACTATGAAAAATATTTTATTATGTCTGTGCTATTAAATGTACTTTATAAATTTAGATATTACTTTATATAAAAGTTAAGATCCAAATGCTATGACCTAGGTATTTTGCACATTATGAATTTTTATAAGGAAGGTAAATATAAACTGTATTTTACTTCTAGGCTACTTTCAAAGGATGGATGGATATTATGTATGCTGCTGTTGATTCACGAGATGTAAGTGTATCTGTTGATTATATTCTGATATAGAGGATAGAATTTAAACAGCTACACATACAGTTACATTAAGAATTATGGTTGGCACCAATACATTTTTTTTCAGAGATATTTATTCTAGAAAGGAACTTTTATGTAATTTCATGAATCTTAGAATTTTTTGTGAAAAGAATTAATCCCACTTCCTTATATTTAGCCAATTAAGTTAAATTAAATTAACTGGACTTTTCTTTGGAAATGCTAATGATAATGAAAAAAACAAAGAGGGTTTTTTTAACCACTTCCATTCATGAGTATGAACTATTTTAAGATTATATAATGTAATTATATAATTATTAATTTTGTTTCATAATTTGGAGCTGTGCATTTCATTATTTCATTAGGTTGAGCACTTACGTTACCTAGCTATTTAAGTGCAATTAGATTTTGAGGTGGAAGATCACCTGCTAAATTTTCTAGGGATTAGAATTTTATCTTGGCTGCGAAACTAAAACTATATTTCCCTTGTACAAAAAAAGTGCAACACAGATACCTGAACTAGTTCTATACAACCTAGGTTACTGTCACATTAGTGGTATCTGTCATCACACAGTGATACGCATCTCCCAGAGAAATACACCATGTTTGATTTCAGCTTTTCTACATTCTAGCACATTATGCAGTAGAGGTGCAGGTGTTAAGATGGAGAAGAAGAACTGACAGAGTGACAAAACCCTCCTTGGAATTTTTTGCCACAATTTAATGGATTTCACAAAACATATACTCACTAGAAATTTATTGAAAGCACCTGTTCTTAGCTGGATGTAAGAACACTCATGTAAGACCGAAAGAGTTCCAGGGAGATATGGGCAATGATTCCGTTGCAAGAAAATATACTGACTAGAGTATAAAATATTTAGATTTGCGCTGTTAAAATTTTAAGTATTAATGACTGCTCTCAGTCCTATGTCACTTCTTCATTCTATGTAAGGAACTTTGTGTGCATGTATATTCATAAACGTATCTGTGTGCACATTTACTTTAAATTCCATTTGGGCAATCATTCTGTCAGGTTCCAGTTCTCCAGGTATTGATCGGAGTGGACACGTTCAGTCTCATAATAACTGAGTGCAGTTTTTAGCTTTTCCAGCTGAGACAGTGTATACCTACTCATAAATTATATACATTGTTTTTTACATACAGTATTCTCATGGGTAACAAAATTTATAATATTTTGTAGGTAAAAGATCAACCTAAGTATGAGGACAACTTGTATATGTATCTTTATTTTGTCATCTTTATCATATTTGGATCATTCTTTACCCTGAATCTTTTCATTGGTGTCATTATAGACAACTTCAATCAACAAAAAAAGAAGATAAGTATTTAAAATATTTCCATAGAGCTATAAATTATTAGTCATAATAAATTAATAACTTATTTATGTAAAGCTAATAAAAATCAAAAGTTATTTCAAACTTTGAAATAAAAATGCCTCTTTCCTTAACGTAATCTGTGTTATATCTGTGGATATGATTTTGACCTTTGCATTTCAGAATTTTGAGAAGTGAAGAAGGACAAATCATGCATTGGTTCATAATAATTTGCAAATTGTGTAAGAGCTAAAATGAAGATGCAAAAAAGGAATGCGCATTATTCTTTTGATTAGATGCAATATTGTGTCATAGAAGCATTTTTTTTAAATTAACTTTGAAGAATTATGATAAATTAAGTTTAACTAATCTTATTAAGTGTTGACACTTAATGAAGATACAGTATGTCATTGTGTTGATACAACGGATAATAATTCTGCAAACTAATTTAACAGTCGGTTGAGAATAAGTCCAATAGACCTCACATGAACAGGCTTAAAGATACAAGTAAAATTGTGTGCAGAAGAGCTCTATTTTTCTAACACTTTTATGAGAAATGAGATGAACTTGTTAGACCCAAATACAGTCTATATTTTTTTAGCAATAATAAAGCAAAGGTATAAAAGGAAGGATATCTTTTCTGTATAGATTTGACATACAAGTATGTTTTAATTATGGATAATGAATATAGTTTTATTTAAAATAACTTTTAAAATCTAAACCCACAAATAATCACATTTAAAATATTTGGAAGCCTCATGGTTCTTGTCCTTCAACAGTCAGAAAGAACTACAACCTCAGGATAACTCTAAATCTTTGAGTGCTGTGAAAAAACAGTTTCATATGATCTGGTTTTAACCCATCACCAAACAAAAAGCAGCAATATCAAACTGAATCTATGTAAAAGATTCTTCTGTGAACTACAGAAGTTTTCCCCTGTGAAAATATTTAGCTTCTTATAAGAGCTATAAACACGCCTAGTGCTACTTCCTCCGTTTCTATCAATTACGTCATGCTTTGGGCTTCCACGTTCAGTTTAGCAGAGAGTGACTGACATTCTGTTTCTGCCTGACTTAGTTCAGACTCATCAATAAGCACAATTTACTTTATATTGAAAGTCAGTGACTTGGTTGCACATCCGACTGGCAGTATTTGCATCTGCAAACAAAGGCTAATTTCAGTTAGTCAAGGTTCCAGTGGTGTTTTAATTAATAATTTGCTATGTCATGATTTTGATTACTTTTCCTGATTCAAAAGTGATTTTTTTGCTGCAGTTAAAGCCCTCAGATTAGACCCAAGTACTCTCCCTTGACAGAACTTGTGCCTCAAAGTCACTGACTTTTAGACCTGAATCGCTGTAATCCTAAATCCATGTAGACTTTAGGATATGTAAAGCACCAGTCAGGCTCACGTGCACTAAATATGTCCTAATTAGCAAGTTCTTTAACAGCATCAGTATAGCAAGCACCATGCTAGGTAGGTCAGTAAAAGTGAGCATGAAGACCAAAAAAACTCAACCCTCAACCTGAAAAGGCACCAGTAAGGGGTATTTTTTTGTGTTAGGGATGCATATGAGCATCCACACTATAGATACCTGAAAAAATCTCTTTTGTTTTGTAAATGAGATATAAATGTAGCATTATATTACAGAAAGACGTGTGCACATGATAGTAATTCATTTTGATATTATTTCTTCACTTTGGAGGTCAGGATATATTTATGACAGAAGAACAGAAGAAGTACTATAATGCAATGAAAAAATTGGGATCCAAAAAGCCACAGAAACCTATACCAAGGCCAGTGGTAAGAGTGATTTGATTTTACTTCCCCTAGTATTAAATACTCATTTGGGAATATGCTTTTAGCCAACAGGAAAAGGCTATATATCTGGAAAGAAAATATTTTTTTTCATTTATTTTCTTCTAAAGGTAGAATTTGTATCCCTTTTTTTAAATTCAGCTGACTAGATTGTTCATGTTTCATATAAAAACATACACTATAAGGCATGAACTGTAGGATTTAATAGGGTTAATGTGATAAGTTTCTTAATTCCTTGTCTAAGTCTTAGAAAAGTACAGTTGATTGCATCATTTACTGGGTCTTGTTACCCATGGATAAACTTCATTTTCTGTTTTTAATCCTCCCAGAGAATTTGTAGGAAATGGGCATGAACTGGCCCCTGCTGCTAAAGACAGAAGAGGGCAGTGGTCACCTAATGTGAAAGACAGATGCAGATAACCTTACAGAATAAAATGCATAAACCAGGATAAATTTGTCCCTAAGATAAGAAACTACTCTGATATTTACTGAACTCCTACAGTGTTTGATAAAAATAAAATACTTGTTGCACCCTATGCACCGAGTGGTTAAAAATAGGCTTTCTAAGGAGATACATATGGCAATAAACATTTAGCTAAGTGTAAAGGAAAACTAGGATACTGAAGTCGTGGTGTATCTGAGACATGTAACTTCAGCAGTCCAATGTTCTCACCAAGCACAATTAATTTAAGGAAGAGAGAGACATCTCTGCAGGTTAGTATGCTAAGACCAGCTAAGAATAAAAATAAGAAAACTAGTTTCTGTTTATCTGGTACTCTTGCTGGGTATCAAGTTATATCACCTTTTTTATCTCAGTATTATCAATTGTCAATGTTATTACTATTATTGTTGCATTATTTCCCTTCCTGTCCCTTCAGCTAACAGTGGTACACTTCTTGATCTGCTCTAACAGGATGAGACACAAAACAGCATGGGTTTGGTGTATATTTACAGATGGATTGTAGATAGGCCTTGCTCTGCACTCCTCAATCTTGCAGGGACTTGCTTTCCCATTTGGCATTTGTAAAGACAAATATTTTCAGAGTATAAACTGCGTTCCATCTTTGTTTTTGCAGAACAAATTCCAAGGCATGGTCTTTGATTTTGTCACGAAACAAGTATTTGACATCAGCATCATGATACTCATCTGCCTTAACATGGTCACAATGATGGTAGAAACAGATGACCAGAGTAAAGAAATGGAAACAATTTTATCCCGGATTAACCTTGTGTTCATTATCCTTTTCACTGGAGAATTTGTCCTAAAATTGATTTCACTTCGCCATTACTATTTCACTATTGGCTGGAATATTTTCGATTTTGTTGTTGTGATTCTCTCCATTGTAGGTAAGAGGTTCTTTCAAGAACAAACTAATGGAAGGAAAAGGGAACATTAGTTTTAAGAATGTTACGATGCCAAATATGAAATTTTCTGTTTCCTATTTGACTTAACACATTGATTCTGATCTTCATACTTTATAGCACACAAGAAAAGAAATGTTGAATATAATATTTTTATCTCTTCCACATCAAAAGACATAAAGGAACTATGTGACAGATTAGATTATCATGTACAAATATAAAAAGGAATGTTTAGTGGTATATGTGAACTAACCACAGATTTGCTATCAGTACTAAAAAGTGTGTGAAGGGGGTGTGATTTTTAAATGCTTTTGCTAACTTAGGTCACAATGAATAATTAGATTTCTGTCAACTAAAAGCTAATGACCCTCCAAGGTGCAGATGAGTTGCGTGACAAAACTTAATTTTTAGCAAGTGATACACCTGAGAGAGGCTGTGCTGATACAGTGTAGATTCTCAGGTTAAAAAAAAAAATCACTGATTTGCAGAAAGTAAGCCAATATAGTCCTTCATAAAAGACAGCAGTAATAGGCTCAGATTCAAGAACTAACTAGCCTGCTTTAGGAGTAACTGAAAGCTTAGACAGACACTAGGTACCTTGCCACAGCCTTTTTTCTTTTCCTTATTTCCCTTGTCTTAGATATCATTTCAACAAAAGGAAGGTGCTTTCAAGAACATATAAAATACCTTTTATGATGTTTTTGCTATAACATAGACTCCCTATACTGATTGTTTTGGAGACAGCAATAACTGAATCTTTCTATAGGTAATGAATGAATGAATTTAAAATTATATTTTAAATATTCACTTTTTTCTTCCCTAGGTATGTTCTTAGCTGAGATGATTGAGAA